AAACCGCACCGGTCCCAGTATGGACCCCTGAGGGACACCACTTGTCACCGGTCTCTATCCAGACATCAAGACATTGACCACTACCCTCTGGGTGTGACCATCCAGCCAGTTCCTTATCCACCAAAGAGTCCACCCATCAAATCCATAGCTCTCCAATTCAGAGAGAAGGATGTTGTGGGGGACTGTGTCAAAGGCTTTGCAGAAGTCCAGATAGATGACGTCTGTTGGTTTCCTCTGTTGGAGGAGCTCAACCACTGCTGACTCCTCTTTTGTCAGCGTGGACCCCATCTACTCCCTGGCCATTTGCCTGATCAGGGTGAGTTTCCCACTGTTTGCGCTAGCATCTTCCTGACTGCTGGGGCAGCACTCACCTTCGGCTGGCTTTCACACCCTTCGTCTTTGATTCCATCAGAATGTCCAACACTGATCTGAGGGGCCCTGTTCGGGCGCCACTTATGACGCGGAAGTCACGGACACTGCACACAATCAATGTGATCAAGCAAATGCCAATTTATTGTTGATACATCCTGGTTAATATAGCTCTTCTATTTCCCTATCATGCACAAACTCCTAACTAATTGGTTAACTGTATCTGTACATGTCCACTTAGCTACAATATGATTCGTTAAAGTCTCTTGTCCACGCGCACGGTCCTCTCCCACCCATCAAATCCATAGCTCTCCAATTCAGAGAGAAGGATGTTGTGGGGGACTGTGTCAAAGGCTTTGCAGAAGTCCAGATAGATGACGTCTGTTGGTTTCCTCTGTTGGAGGAGCTCAACCACTGCTGACTCCTCTTTTGTCAGCGTGGACCCCATCTACTCCCTGGCCATTTGCCTGATCAGGGTGAGTTTCCCACTGTTTGCGCTAGCATCTTCCAGACTGCTGGGGCAGCACTCACCTTCGGCTGGCTTCCGCACCCTCCGTCTTCGGCTCTGTCGGGATGTCCAACACCGATCCGGGGGTCACTGTTTGGGCGCCAAATGTCGACGCGGAAGTCACAGACACTGCACACGATCAATGTGATCAACCAAATGCCAATTTATTGTTGATACATCCCGGTTAATATAGCTCTTCTACTTCCTTATCATGTGCAAGCTCTTTACTAATTGGTTAACTATATCTGTACACGCGCTCTTAGCTACTATATGGTTCGTTAAAGTCTCTTGTCCACGCGCACGGTCCTCTCCGCCTACATCCTGCTTTGCTTTCTGATTTCAGTCACGTACAACAACTTTTCTTCCTCTTTTCAAGGTTGTTTTCATCACTTTCTGACTGCAGGCGGCCTTCACAATGTCCTTGAGGCTTACTGCTCACAAGCATAACAAGTCCATTTGGTCTGGATTGTTCACTAAGTGTCCTTGACTCTCCAGATATCCCACACCATGATTCTATGAAAAACGCTGGACTGGAATTTCCTTAAACAGTTTACTTAATGCAGGGTTTTGTTTTGTAGATTAGGATGAGTAAAGGACAACAATATCCATGTAATCCTTCCATTTGAATCTGGTATTTAAATGAAAACTAAATGGTCAGGCAATTGGGGATTGGGGGTTTTCCAGTATTGAGGCTGTTATCATGTGATATAAATAAGCAGAGAATCTACCAGCAAACCCCGGTGGTGCATCCATCTTAATGACACTTCACCCTCATATCTGCTCCCTAGCTGTTGGTCTGAGACGAGAGAGAAAAGATCTCTTTGACATTAGGTGTTTTCCTTTGATATTTGATTAGGCATGCTTGAATTTCTTAGCCTTTTCTATCCTGGGAGCATGTTGGTGTGCATCCTGTTTTGCAGGAGGAGATACATGCCTGCTAAATGTGTATCTGCTCCCCTGCCTCCCTTCCCTCCCTCACTTCTATTATAGAACCAGGAATACACAGCATGAGTCCATAATTTATTTAATATTATTACATATGTTTCACAACACAATCTGGCTGGCTTGCGCTAGCTAAACTACCAGTCTTCAGGATTTAGCAACAATAAAGTGTATCTTTTACTTGAAACAAGTTTTAATTTGAATCACAAATTCTTTCATGTCTGATTTATCAGCAGTGTGTTGTACGGTAAGGGTATCCAGGAGTGAATCACTCTCCAATTCAAGCTCTACAATGCTACTGGCTTATTGAAATTATGTATATCATACCCTTCAGGCATTTCAAGTGTGCTGCTAAAATTTCAGTAGACAATTCCACAGCATGCAATATTATTAAGATGAGCTGGTGCTTTATTTGAAGTTCATGCCTGTCAGCTATAAGGCTGTGCTTGGCACATGTCTCTGAATGCGAAAAGATTTTTAAAATAGTCTTTTTTAAAGTTTTTGAAGGATGATTACCAGACTGAGACATTTGCAGCTGGATGTAGATGACATGCCGTGACCTGATCAGTGAAGGTAACTTCTTCATATAGGCACTATAGAGACCAGCATAATCTCAACCAGGGCAACCAAACCTTTAGGAGCCATCACATGCAGACCTTATAAACTGATTAGGAATAAGCTAACTGATTCAGGTGAGACCTGACCTCCTGTCACATCTTAATTCAAAACTCAAACCAAAAGAAAAATAACCATCGTTCATGACACTAGAGTTTGGCGCGTTTTTTAAATTCTCCAGCATAGTTTCCTAGCAAAATGAAGCTTTTGTGTCGTTGCCATCTGTCTGCTAGTCCCCCTCAAATATTTTTAAATGTTGGGCAATTTCAACAACAGTGATAGAGATATAATGACCTCAGAGGTGTTGCGTTTCTGTCTCTGGCCCACATATTTTACTGTTTCAAGCTGTTATTTCTGATTGGTCTCAAGCAGGATGTGCTTCCTGGGCCAAGAAATGAAAGAGCAGAACTTCCATAAGAAATGGCATTCCTATAACATTTCTTCCCAAAATGAGACAGGGGGAAAAAAAAAAGTCCCACGTGTATGCTATTCTGTAAGACTCTGAGCATAATTTTTTAGATTTCAAACCTTCATACACACAAACACACACACACAAACATACACAGATTTTAGTTATTTTCAGTGTTCAGTGAAATCTAAAATGTAAGATTTAGTTATTAGTGTTCCTGTTTTTAGATCAGAGCTGCTGTCGGGATTAGACACCAATGAATGTAATAATATAATAATTAAACATCATAAAAACGTCTGCAAAACTCTGGGCAAATAAGTCTTTATTGGCAGACCCCCCCCTTCCGATTTCCATGTTGTCTACTTAAATTGTAAGCTTTTCAAGAAAGGGACCACCTCAAAACACATTTTTGGACAGCCCTTAGCATAGAATCATAGAATCATAGAATTGTTTAGGTTGGAAAAGACCTTTAAGATCATCAGGTCCAAACATTAACCTAACACTTGGTCCTATGGCATGAAAATAATAATAAAAAAACTCAGTAATAATATTTTTTTCAGACTATTATATGGGAAAAAGACAAATCACTTCTGTGAGTAGGATTAATGTTCTATTAGAGTGGTAGACTCATAGTTCTACCATGTGTGTGGCCAACTTTCTTGAATAATGGGGTTTCTCTACTGAACATAAATAGACCTTTGTAAAATGAACAAAACAGAAATCTTAATTTAAACCTCAGGAAAAAAAAGTCTTATTTCATCCATTTATTCCTCATTTTATTACGATTCAAGTCTTTAAGAAAGCCAAAATATTTCTAGGCAATGCAGATTGCTTTGCCTAGTGCTGTTACAAAAAAGAAAAATGTAGAAACAAGAAAATGAAGAAGAAAATAATTTAAGGAGGATTACCTCTAGGAAATCAAAGAAGTGCTTTATTGAATATGTTTAAACCCTTTAGGTCCTTACCTCTAAGAAAGGCATGCCTTTTGCAAGAGTTATTCGTTTTAATTAAAGGGATGTGACATGTATAGATTTGACCCAATCAACTTGTGGGTTTTTTTATAAATTACTTGCTCATAGCCTGCAAATTCTTTGGGATGAGGACTGTCTGCAGAGCCTAGCAATAAGCAATACAAATAATCATAATTTAGCCTAATCTATGCAGTTATAAATAAAGGTGATAGTTGGGTCATCCTGTCCCAGAAACATTTTTCTTACCACTGCTGATTTAAAGCATTTTTGGCATTTCATTATTACTTTTTTCTGGTTTTGCTGGGAGTCGTTTGCCTGGGGAAGATACCTTGAGGGGATTTGGCAGCGGGCTTGATTGCTGGGCATTGGGAATTACTTCTTTCTCCTATCAGGGAGATAAAGGAATGGGACAATATAATTTCATGTCATCTCAGTTTTGTGGGACCAGGGCTTGGAAGTGCAACATTCAGGTGACCTTCTACAGCAAGTTAGGAAATAGTGTGCGCTCTTTCACTCTCTCAGGTGCCTAAGAAACTAAATAGGTCCTCTAATATTGTGCAAGGTATTAAGATATCTTTGGCAGTTATGATGAATTAAAATATAGTACTCATGCATACCTTCTGACTTTGACCTTTTTTCTTTCAAACTTGACATGCTGGACCATGACTCAGGCTGAGTCTGAGGCATAACTTAAGGTTGTTTCACTTCAGCCCTTTTTCCCTCCCCAAGAAATGTTGCACATGCTTCCATGTGAAGACTATTTTAGTTCTGGATCTGAAGGTATCTCTTGCAGCCTTCTGCAAAAGTCTCTGAAGTGCTTCCCTGACTTCAAGATATATACAACAACGAAAACAACAAAGTACCCAAGCACCTGAGGAAGAGGCACATTTTTATATTTGTCTGTCTGTCGAGTTAAATCTCTTTCCTTGCAACACACAAAATCAAAAGTCAGAGGAACTGTGTATGTTTTAGAAGGTGTTGAAAATGCCCATGAAGTCACTGCATGAGATAACATGCTGTGGGTCATGCCGCACTGTTATACTCCCATAGACGTGTGTTCTCCTCTCTGCGATATACGCTGTAACATCCTATCTTGTCCTTTGTCACTCTGATTACCGTGCCAGTAGCGGCAGCTGGGAGGCTAAGTGTGTAGTTAGATAATAACAAAACATTCTTTCTAATTTTTCAGTGTGTCCAGTCTTTCTCTGGTGATGGAAATATGGTGATGAATTAAGTTATTTGGGGGGGGGTGGGGGGAGTGGGTTTGTTTTTCTGTTTTGCACTTCTACATATGTCTTTCTGTAAAGAGGTATAGCCAAAGATGGACCTGAAACTCTTCTACTTTTTCCCAGGTCCAACACTCCCAAATTTTGTGCATGTTTAAAATCAAAGCTGTATCTAGGAATGATAAAAAATCTTATTTTTACAAAAACTCAAATAAAAAGAGGCCTTAAGCTGGAACTGTGCACACCACTGATATTGGAAAGGATGGAGCTGGGATGAGAAAAGCTGCCTTATACTACCTGAGAACCTCGATCCCATGCTGAAATCCATCAGATTGCACCTTGAAATCCGGATTCATATTTGGTGGCTTGTAATTATCTCATGCTTTCTGCAAGTAGAAGTTTTATAGAACAGGAAGATACGACTTGGCTATTTACACCATAAGTGTCTTTAGTTTCTTGTCCGTTGTTAAACTGAACACTAACAGTGTGAGATGCAAAGAAATCCTACATCTTGCAATTCGATCCTGAAAGAAACTGAACGCAGACTACTGGTGTTCTTCCTGCCAATGGCTATACACATTCGCGTAGCTCCCCTCAACTTATGGCAGGTTAACAGCAGCTTCACAGTGTCTTAGTACTGGAAAAAAATGACATTGATGTCAGATTGTCTTTCTTCCTTTTTTTCTTTTTTTTTTTTCTTTTTTTTTATTTATTGACCTTAAAATTCGTTCAGAATAACATTTGCTTTGGTTTAAACTGTGAGTAAAAAGTAAAAGGTTAATGCATTATCAGCTCATTCTACTGCTTATGCTAAGCTTTTCATTTTAATTATCTCCTGCTTCTTACAAGATAAACCAGAAATCAATGAATAGAAAGACCAAAGCTGAATAGATAACAGTGTTAATCAGCTGACTTTTTTGTTTGTTCTACTTCACAATTTTTATTCATCTTAAGAGAGAACAGAAAATCGTGCAGATACAAATGTGTAAGGCACTGGGCTAGCCTGTGATTTGGAGACTCATTCAGCTGCTTGCTCTGAAACACGCTCCTTGTATGACCTTAGGCTCTTGTAAAATGAAGATAATAGCACTCTATAGCTCACAGAATGTTGTGAGAATGAATACATTAAATATTTTTAGATGCCTGAAATGGATGGGGATTAGATGGGCAATGAAGGTAAACCAGCAGGTGAATTTATATCTTGTTTTCTAAGGAGGAAAGTAACTCTTTAAAAGCACTGAGGTGATTACCTAATAAATCAGTAAACCTCAGTTTCACAGTTTCAAGTTCATGTAAAGAAATGGGGAGCACAAATTGCATAAAAAGACAACAGGTTTAAGTTTTCAAACCTGTGAAAAAATATACATTTTTTTCTTTTCCTTGTCCCTATAAAATGTGAAAGATGGCCTTACTGCAACATTAAAATAATTGTTGAGATTTAGAAGGAGCTTAATACAATTTCAGTTTTCTCAAGTAAGATTTTCTGTAACACCACAGGTAATTTAAAATGTATTTGGACTTGTGTCCTGGTAAAATAAACTCGTGCATAGTAGGAGGTGAACCCTGGGTTGGATGAATGTGCAGAATGGAATACAAAAGTCAGTTTATTTGTTCCTTCAAGTACTAAACAGCATAGTTTGGAGTATCACAGGAGACTGGTGAACAGCAGATTACATAAAAATGAGAGCTCAGTGCAGAAGCATAAAACAAATGACACAATATACTGAAGAATCACAACTTGGTTTGGAGACAATTTAATTTGAAAGACTTCTGTTAGTACTTGTAGCTGGTTAAGTATGCTCTTAGCATATTTGTCAGGAGCAAAAAATAATAAGCTTGTTTTCATGGTATCTAGGTAAACAAAGTCAAACCAAAGCATGAAATAAGATAATACCAGTCCTAGTGTAAATATGAGAATATTTTAGAGGCTAGTTAAAATATTATGACTTTTCCAAAATGCACCGCTCCTATGAGAGTTTTGAATGACATTTCTCTGCTGTCTTTAAGGGTATGTGCTATCCACAATAAACCCAAGAAATTGCCCATAATAAAACTAAGAAGTTGTAGTTCTAAGAATAATCAGTATTTATTGCTTAAGCAATCAAACCCAGCTTCTCTTCCTTGGAAAGGAGAAGTGCTATTTATTTCAAAACCTTCAAATTCTTCACTAAGCAATGCTGCTGTTGACACTGCTGCAGGACGTGACTGCTGTTATTAACAAACAAAGCAAGAAAGGAGACGGTGTTTCCTAAAATTTACCATGGAGTATGGCTGTCGCTTAGGTTGGCAGCTGAACTACAGGCACAGCAAAGCGTGGCAACGCGCAGCTCTCCCCTTCCTTACCAGCGTGCTGGCTCTGTGACAGCTCGCTCCCTGAAGGGCTGTATTCTGTAACAGGGCTAACCTAGCCCATAATATATCGTGGTGAGAATACTGACTCTTTGGATCACGGCAAGTAGTTTATTCTCCCAACTATCAAGATGAATAGTTACTGTAGCTGCCATGTCAGCTATGGCAATTGCAGATGCTGTTCTTTGTACGCTGGAGCCTTTTAAAAATCTAAGTAGTCTGCCTCAAGTGTTTTCTATTTTCTGTTTGTTACCTTGTTTTTTCATAAAATGCCCTCTTGTCCTTCAAAACAGGAAGGCTCAGATGGCCCCCTCTGTTCTCTTCATTCTGTTGTATAACTGGCTCATATATTTTGTGTGCTTTCTTTTCCCAAACTGAATAATTAATCTTTTTTATCTTGTTTTAAAAGGGAAAACATGCCCCCTTCATTTCTGTTCATCATCCTACAGTCTCATTTTGCTTTTTTTTTTTTTAAAATCTTGGTTTCCTAAGGCTTGCATGTGCACTCTCTTTCTCTGTAGATGTCTATATACCCTTATACGTCAATTTATAATGGCATTCAATTCACTGACCAATTTTATCTAGATTTGCCAGGGGACAGAGGTCTCAAAGACAATTAGTTTCCTATAAATAACTTTTAGGCAAGTGGTTAAGAAAAGGCAGCAATGTGGCCTCACTTTAGCAGACATCAGAGAATTCACACCTGACAGGGCTTCAGAGTGCTCCTGGGGGAAGTCTCATTCCGAGTTGCTTGGAGGAGCTTGGATGTCTGCTGGCAGACAGTTACCAGGGGCTCACAGAGGTACCTGTTTTTAATGAGGGGCCTAACTGAGAAAGAATGAGGAGCTGCCAGCATGTACTGGAAAAAACACTTGTATTTTCCCTCTTCGTCTTAAATAGCTTCTGAAGTTTTGTCTTTTAGCCCTCTGCTGTGCAGAGGGCTAAATCCACCTGCTGCGCAGTTTCCCATGAATTCCTTTAATCTAACAAGAGGACCCACCTGTACCAGCCCCACATGGCCAAACTCCTCGCCTCTAGCAGAAGGTGAGACCGAAGCTGCTCTCGGGGGCACTGGATACCTCTTGCAGCCCAGCACAGTAATGTTGACAGCCGCAGGGAATTCACAGCCCTGCAGGCACATCTAAAACCTCGCAGCTGCAATGGGGATGGTGCCAGCGCAGCAGAAGCACTGTGCTGTGAAATGAGTGTATGTTTAATGTGCAAGTGTTAGGAGGTGTTAAACCACCCCTAGAAATGGGTGCTACCTCATAAGCATATACTTATTTTAGATCAAACCAGATCGCATTTTTCATTTTTACACTCAATACATTCTATTTTGTTAATTCTGTAACAACAATATTAATTCTATTCTGTGTATCCAGGAGAGTAAAAAGGGTCCAAATGGAGAAATCTGTATTGTTCAACAACAGCCAAGCCAGAAATACTAGAGGAGGTCAAAGGGGATGATAATGGTCTCTGTGTTGCCTATATGCGTCCTTAAGGAAATTTTGAACTTCTTTTTTTTTATTCTTTTCACCTGTTTTCTGTTATTCTTACTGCTATGAAATTTCAGCTTAGAGAATATACTTGATTACTCCTGGTACTGCTACATGCTTCCCTGTGTTAACCTTCTACAAGAGATGACTAGTAAAAAAGATGCAAGGACAGAGCCTGTGAAACTGAATAATCCTTACTCATGTGAGCAGTCTCGGTAAGGAGAATTTTTCTAACAGCTGACTATTCAAGTATTTTTTGCTTTGTATAAAAACAAATTATTTTGTTTGCTTACTTTTTTTTTCATACAAAACCTCCTCCAACTGCATGTGCTGTTTGATAAGCAATTTGATGCTTATTGTGAGAAGCTAATCCCCACAATACAAGCTGACCGTAGTAAAGAAGATGCCATTTTCGCATAATTGAAAAAGAAAGTTGCCTATTTCCACTCAAAACATACAAACTGCTTTTACCTTTCCAGTCACTAATGCTCATAAGGCAACATTATCAGTTACTAAGGTAACATGGATCAGGAAAAATCTTTACTTATCTTTCAAGGCCAAAAGGTTTTATCATAGGAGACAATGTTACATTA